GTAGAGTGGAGTGCCATTTCCCATCAAGGAAAACCAGAAATTTTCCTCCTGTCTCTAGCAAGGTCTCTTCATTCTCCTTCAGATGTGACAAAACAAACAAAATATTTGGGAAGGAAAGTGGCAGAGGAGTTTCTGCTCTTTGCTGTAGAGTGCCATTTCCCATCAAGGAAAACCAGAAATTTTCCTCCTGTCTCTAGCAAGGTCTCTTCATTCTCCTTCAGATGTGACAAAACAAACAAAATATTTGGGAAGGAAAGAGAACTGGCAGAGGAGGGAGATGCGTGCTTTTGCTGTTTGTTTTTAAAGGTTTCATCAAAAACAACTGAAAAGTTCAAGGTTGTTGTGTGTTTTTTGTGCAGTATGCTTAAAAATAAATAATCCCTCCCCCCAGAAACCAAGTCATCCATTATTGAAGAGTGTTAGATCTCTTGCACTGCCTTAGTGTAGTACTGCTCTGATTTTACATGACTTGACCTGGCTGAAATGAACTTCATTAACGACTAGCTGTTCTTGGCCAGCTGCTTGAGTGATGGAGGACGGCTCTCTTAGAAAATCACCTCCCACAAGTTATGATTCTTCAGCTAAAACATGTCTCACATGAGCCAACACATTTTCAGTTTTCATTGTGTTCTTGGTCATGTGGTTAAAAAGATATCAGGTTTCTTCACAGTTTTAGGTTAAGAGCTGGAAACTTAACAGTGGACATGGGTGCTTCTCATATTTAGGCACAATTAAATTTTCTGTCATGTAAGTATATACCCACTACATGGCATTATGTTTTCCTCTACTTCAATGTTTTTCAACCTCTTTAAAGTCATGACTCCTAAGCTGCAACCCCCACCACATTTGCATAAAAAGGCATTTTAATGGGGTAAAGAAAACACCATTAATCACCATTAATTGACCCCCTACCACCAAATATTGTTAAACAAGTCCAAATAAGGAAGGCTTCACTGCTGCTGCAGTTTACTTTTCCTCAGCTGCACGCTGCTTACCTGCCCTCATCCAGGAAGTCCAACTTTTTTTTAACCCCTGCTGAAATTTTCTTACCATAAAAACCCTATGATGAGACAGACCAATATGAAGCAAGGCATAGGGTTGGAGGACAAGACTCCTAAGTCATGAGCAAGGCTGTTGAGGACAGGCCATTTTGCATATTGCTCATTCATAGGGTCACCATAGGTCAACAACGACTTGATGCCACATAACAGCAACAAGCTTCATACTAAAACAACTCAGTATTTTGAATTACCCCCTGTAATATAATTCTTTTGTAATCATGTCTTCAACTATAACAGGGGTAAGGGAACTTTTTTACCTTTTCCCCCCCCCCCAAATTATTTACATTGACATACCCCCCTGCTGCGCTTGCCCAGGACATGTGGCCACCATCCAGGAAGCCAGTCTGGAGCTGCCACAACGCTGGGAAAGTGCGTCCTTGGAGAGCAGTGCCATCCAGGCAGCCAGTCTGGAGCTGCCACAACTCTGGGAAAGTGCATCCTTGGAGAGCAGTGTGTCCTTGGCAAGGAGGCAGGCACT